GTAAGTTTAAATAATATCCTGAACACTAGTTATTATGAATTACGGCGAAATAATGTCTATTCGGCAGTAAAAACGCAACTGAGTAATTTGCTGAATTTAGTACTTTTTAAAGGGCCATGTTAGCTTTTGTTTAGTGTTTAAAAATAAAAGAAATATTGTAATATAAACTAAAACTTACTTCTCATTGTCCCTTATGCTCAATAAATGAAGATATAGTAAGATTAAAACCAGCCGATTGCGATTGGATCTACCTCATTTTTTTATATTTGAAAAATCTAAAACACGAMCGCATTGAATGCTGGTTGACCATGGGCCTTTAAGGYACKTTACCTCGCGCATGGCATCTCGGGCTTGTAGGACTCCATTGTAAATTTCAGTCATTTTATCCTTCGCTTCTCTCATTTGCATCAAAGCTTCCTTTGCTTTATCATAAGCATCTTTACATTTTGTAAGAGCTTTATACAGGAAATAGATGCTGTACGCTATAAACACAGATAAACAAGCAAGATCAACTTCAACTGATTTAGTTTATATAGGAATCTTTTCATGAACAACAGAAACAGAAATCAATGAGCTCACTTGAGCAAAACATGATAGGGATTTTAACAAAAAAATATCAGCCTAAAAACAAACTTTAATATCAATACAAAACGACAAGGATTTTCCATAATACAGTCAACTCTCTCGTAAACGACTACGTACCTCGGGATCAGGAAAAAGTGGTTGCTTACGAGAGATGGTCGCTTAGGAGAGTGGTTGTTCAAAGAGAGTTAACTGTATATCATCATAGTATGATGCAAAGCCTATAGGATGATGATCGGTAGAATAATTCTCTCGACAACAGTTTGCTTGCACACTTACTTTACCATACARTGTATACCTTCTTCCATCACGTGGTGGCGGGGACGAAGAACAAAACTACACATTCAGCTTATTTTAGCCTTACCTGTTTTTGCCAGGGAAATCGCAGCATCAAATCCTTTTTTCACGTTTTTAGCGAGATTAAATGACTTGTCATATTTAGTTTGGAGCTTGTAATTGAGTTTATCGACTTTGTACGTTATCTTCGCAGCCTTCTTTCCAAACCAACTCTTGCTAGCCTGATACCTCTCTGAGGTCTTATCTGGGGGTTTAATCGGTTGCTCGATCTAAAATGATAAAATAATCAAGATCTTGAGATCCAGAAAGTTCTGTCAGCACAAAAATTGCTGGGTGGGCTCGGGACACACTATAGCACAAACTAAAGAATAATATTTACCTCGTAAACTTTGTATCGTCCCATTCGCGCCTTGATCCATAGCTTTAGTTTTGGGACTGCTGGTATGATGGTAGTGACTAGAGGTACAGCGATGCCTAGTATTCCATCCAAAACATTGAAGTAYGTTGTTTCAATCGTGATGTAGTCAACTTTTTCATTCGTGGCATTCTTTTCTTGGATTAGTTTCTTTAATGATAGYGGTAATGATAATGATAACGATAATGATTACGGTGATAACGATAATARTAACGATAATGATAGCGCTAATGATAACGATTACGATAATGATAACGATTATGATAATGATAACGATATATAATATATATTAGTATCCATCAATGGGCTATTACAATCCATCTTTCTGATTGGCTACAGAACTGTGGTATATTCATGATAGAGCATGGTCGCATCGAATGAAGACCACTTGGTCTCGTGAACGCGTTGATAGGTTTATTCGTGAGGGGTGGGGTGGGGTTAGGGGCAAGGCCTTATGGACTATCACCTTGTAGTTCACGAGACCGAGTGGTCTAATTGTTGAATMCAAAATATGATTAATCAGTCTATGTCAATGAATATTTTGTCATTTTAGTTTATTAAGTGTGTTAGTTCTCGAGAAATCTTGCTCTTGATTTACCGTTAAATTCCTTGATGTTTGATTTAAAAGAATCTCAGCTTGTGGATCAAGACTTTGTAGGAGCCTTGCAGATGCYGTACCAATGTCGTGCATCGTCAAAACTGTATGACGAAAGTCATCTGAAGCCGTCAAGATCGCTGCCTCTAGATTTTTTGCTGGACAAAAGAAAAACAACAATTCGTTATCATTCTGTTTGAAAAAACTATTTACCACACTCTTGTTAAAAACAGATTAACATGCAGTTCGCGTCATCCCAGATCGGCCCATTGCAATCATGGAAATCGCGCACTTTAAAGGTTGTAAATTCGATGTAAATATGATGTAAGTGTCCAAAATGATGTAAATTT